GAAACCCTGTACAGGGTCGCTATGAGTTGGTTCTGACTCTCGCTATGAGTTGGTTCTGACTCTATGGCACATAACCACCACCACCATATATATATGTATCTATGTGTGTATATATATGTGTATAGATAGATAGATAGATAGATAGATAGATAGATAGATATATTGTTGTTAAGTGCCATTGAATCGGTTCCTGTATAGGGCTTCTGAGGAGCAGCTGGCTGTTGGTGAGCTTGAACCAGCTTGCAGCTCAGACTGATTTTGCAGTTCAGTGCATTTACCCACAGTGTCACACCAGGACTCCACATATATATTAGTTGTTGTTAATTTTCATTGAGTGGTTCCAACTCATAGTGACCATGTACAGGGTTTTTGATAAGATGCATGATTTGAACCACTGATCTGGTGGTTAGCAATTCAGTGCTTATTTATCAATATCACACCAAGACTCCATATATATATATCCCGACTGAAAGTGATTCTGTATAAAGTTTCCAAGGAGCAGTTAACGAGTTTGAACCAAACCAGCAGCTCCTTGAAAATCCTATACAGGGTCGATATGAGTTGGAACCAACTCATCAGCACTTAACAACAATACATGTATATCCATATATATAAATATAATATATATTCAATATTAAAAAGCTTAAGTGAATATATCCATGTAGAGATTTGTATTCCATTTTGCATTTTAATGATCCATGGGCTTTTTGTGGGTTTTATTTGGGGGGAGGTTGTTTTATATTTTATTAAACAACCTTCCAGATCTTTATTCTTTTCCCTTTCCAGATGAACATAAAATTAGCACAATATTGTTTAAAGGTTATTTTACAAGCTACTGACTCTAGCCTACAAACTCTATGTAACAAGACACTATCTTTTGCACTCTGAGCACCTCATAATTCCTATTATTTAATAAGCAGTAGACAAATACATTTTGAAAATAGAAAGAAAGAAGTAAACAACTGTAAAATTCCCAATATAAGTCTGTAAAATACCAAGTACAATAAGATTATCAATCTTTATTCTGATGAACATGTTTAAAGGGCATATTTAGTGCTATTTTCATCCTACATTAATTTTTTTATCTTCATAGAGAAACTGAATCTTCATGGAGAACCTGAATCTACATTCATTTCTTTGAACATTATATATATGGTGTATAATGATCATTATATATAACTTTGGCCTGGTTAATTTTAGTGGATGCTGAAGATAGTATAATAATTGATAAATATTTTAACTTATCAGGAAATCTTTACAGTTAAAACTAAATCTGCTAAAAGTATATTTAGTTTTACACCTATTTTGATATCACAGTGATATATACTTGAAAATCGCCTACTACTGCCATTCAGTAGAGTCCAGCTCATTGCGACCCGGTAAGGACAGACTAGAACTGTCCCACAGGATTTTCTAGGTTGCAAATTCTTTTGGAAGCACACTGTCATATCTTTCTCCCACAGAGCAGCTGTTGGATTCTAACCATCACCACTGTGCAACAAAACAGAAAACTCATTGCTGTGAATTTGATTCCAACTCATAATGAACCTGTGGAGACAGAGTCAAACTGCTCCGATAGGGTTTCAAAGATTGTAAATCCTTACAGAAACAGATTGTCATATCTTTCTACCTAAGGAACAGATGGTAGGTTCCAACCACTAACTTTTCAATTAGCAGTCTAGTGCTTAAATGACTGCACCATCAGGGTGCTGTTAAGTGAACTCAGTACTAAGAAATAGTATATCTTTTGCTGAATGAGGCTACATTTGGAATAACCAACCAAAAACCTACTGCCATCCAGTCAATTCCGACACTTAGCAACTGTATATGTTGTTGTTGTTGTTGTTATGTGCCATCGAGTCGGTTCCGACCCATAGCGACCCTGTACAGGGTTTCCGGAGTGTAAATCTTTACGGGAGTAGAAAGCCTCATCTTTCTCCTGCGGTGCAGCTGGTAGTTTTGAACCACTGACCTTAAGGTTCGCAGCCCGATTCGTAACCACTACGCTACCAGAGCTCCTTAGCAACTGTATATAGGGACTGTAAATCTTTACAGCACTAGACAGCTTCATCTTTCTCCCTCAGAGTTACTGCTGGGTTTGAGCCACTAAACTTGTGGTTAGTAGTCCAGTGCTTATCCGACAGTGCCACCAGGGTTCCTGCATCCATAACATTTACAATGAAAATATGAACTTCAATTTATGTGCTCTTTTAAAAATTGAATAATATGTATTCATAACCAGCCCTGAGACATACATGCCATTCCACGTTGTCATCCTCTTCCTCAAGAGTTAGCAACTTGGTGAGTGGGCTCCCTGTGAAACCTGCATCTCTGTCAGCAGACATAGACCCATGCCTCGCAGGAAGAGCACCACTCGATGATGGAGTGTGTGAACTTCTCAGCGTCTGAGTGAGGAGCTGGTGGTCAAGGGTCATGAAGGGTTTCCCTTGCTGCCTTTGGACTTTCTGTAGCTGAGTCCTCACAGGATTTTCAAGGTGTGCTGGGATCTACAAAATAGAAGCCCAACAGAACATAGTGGGTAAGATCATCAGTTATATCAGAAAGTTCTAAAGCCCTGGGCTGATAATCACAAGATTCAGATCCATCAGTGACTCCATGGGAAACGGATACCACTTTCTGCTCCTGTAAAGATTTATAGATTCAAATTCTTAGACTATGCAGGGTTAATATGAGTCAGAATTGACCCCATGGTAGTGGTGTTTTTGTTGTTGCTGTTGTTGTTTTTTTACAATAAACATACTAGGACATTATAGCTTCTTTCAAGTATTGTAGAGTCTTCTTTTGTAATTTACATAAAATATTAATGGATTATTGCTTTTAAGAGTAAATTTAACCTTTACTAAAATGTATTAGATGTCAACTAGGTTTTAAAAATAAATATCCTTCAAAATAATGTACAACTGAAATAAAATTAAGAATAACTATATAATCATCTTTGCTTTTGGAGGATCTAATAAAAGAAAGATAAAATAACACAAGGGAAATATAGCTGGTTCATTATTATTAAGAGATTATTTTTATATAATACATATTCCCCATAATATATATTGCATATTAGTTCTATATTACAGACAAATGTTCTTTGAAATACTATCACAACTATTTAGCACTGGACTGTGAATCACAAGGTCAGCAATTGGAGCCCACCAAGCACTCCATGGGAGAAAGATGAGGTTTTCTGCTCCTGCAAAGACTTACAGCCTCAGAAACCCTGTACAGTGTCGCTATGAGTTGGAATCAGTAGCTATGAGCATAACATTTCTGAGACTGTCAATCTTTATGGGAGCAGAAAGCCTCATCTTTCTCCCTCAGAGAGACTGATGGGTTCGCACTGCTGACTTTATGATCAACGGTTGTCATTGTGATGTGCCATGGAGTCGGTACTGACTCATAGTGACCCTGTATAGGGGTTTCAAGGCTGTAAATCTTTATGGGAGTAGAAAGCCTCATCTTTCTCCCATGGAACAGCTGGTAATTTTGAACTGCTGACCTTAAGGTTCGTAACCACTACACTATCAGAGTTCCTTTGTGGTTAAAGGTCCACAAAATATCATTTGGCTCTCACTTTTAGACAATTGAGCCAACGCCTCACAACAAATTCTTCATCACAATCACTTTCACTTGCTACACATGCAGCTTTTAAAGCCTTGATATCTTCCAGGATTTTCTTACACTAAAATAAAAAACAAACTTCTTGCTAGCAAGTGAATTCTCACTCCTAGTTTCACTTCTGGTCAAAAAACAGTGGCTTCCTTGTGTTTCTGACATTGTAAATCTTTATGGAAGCAAAACAAAACAAAACAAACAGTTTTTGATAAAGGAAACAAGTGGAAATTGCTACAATATGATGAACTTGACCTATACTTACGGATGCAGTAGCTCAAAATACTGACTGAGAGGGAAGGATTCTTCACATCAAGTATCAATCCTATCCCCTCTCTACACAGGGTTGATAGGGGCAGGCAACTTAGACATTGGCTACCTAAAATGGGGGACGGGGGCTATAAAGGCAAGAAGTAACTAGCTTACAAGTTTTCAAGAGGGAGTTTAGTTTCAGAGTGTGCAGGAGAAGGCAGAATCCCCACTGAATAGTTTTCATCTTGTCTAGATGGGTCTGGTGAAAGGAAATGGGGATAAGAGTCTTATGATTCAGTAGTGAGTAATTTTTATCATGACTAATTGCAACTGTCACAAATGTAAAGGTAGAAATTGTGTAACAAAATGAGGAGAGTAGTTAATCTTACATTCCAGGAACAGAGGACCCTAGGACCAGCAAGGAGAAGAAGATTAACAGAATGGAATGTGGGACCCTATCCAGAGAAGCAGCGACACCAGAATTGGAGGCAGAGATGAGCACATGGAGAAATAGAGCAGCTGAGGACTCTAGACTCATGGAAAGAGAAAGGCTGTGTGCTGATGATCAGAATGTGCCCTTTGGTTGTTTAAATGATTATATATTCCTGAGTGTTTTTGTATACCTCCTCCCCACTCCTCCCTTCCCCCCCCCCCAAAAAAAAAAAAAAAAAACCCAGAGGGAATAGAAGCAGATACCGATGAATGATGATGCATGGAGGAGATTGTAATCATTGCAATGAAACGATGAGTGTAAATCCAATGTTCTCCTATGTAAACTATCACTCAATTCACAATAAAAACTTAAAAAGAAAAGAAAAACCTATGAATATAGTGTTGCCTGTCTGTCCCCTTTATATTTACTATGTTGTTTTGTGGCTTCTAATATATTTTTCTCAAGTGGTCTATATATAAGCCTATTTAAAATTTCCCTGATGTTAAACAATAGTAAAGATTACTGTACTGTGCTTATGTTTCCTTTTATTTCAGTTGCACAAACTACTCCTTAAATCCCTTAACATGCATTAGCCCAGATAAATAGCCTTTACAAAGTATTTTGCATTTAAATTAGTTGGTTTGGGGTACAATATTGTAGTAGTTACTTTAGTTTAATTCTGTTATGCTGACATTTTTAGCATTATTTTAATTGTACTACCATAAAATAATTTCCAGTCATATAAAAAAAAAGATTAAGATTGGTAATAAAGATTACACATTTTACTAATTATATTACCATGAGCTTTAAAGTTGTAAAATAACATTTTATTAAAATGCCAGTGGGAATTTTTTAGGGTAGTTATTTAGATTATCCTACAGTTTTAAATTAATCCTTCTTAATCTGTATACATTTACATTACATACATTATAAATAGCATTTCAAATTCACAAATCGGAATGATCTCTAACACAATGTAACTGAATACTAAAGAACATGGTCTACCTACAAATGGAAAATATCTCCTATTTTAAGAATGTTGAACTGGAATTTATAATATTCATTAACTAATTCATTTTTACTTTTCATCCATTGAATTTAAAAGCTTTTATTAAATCATTTACTGCTTTTTGCATTATATCAAGAATGCAAGCTAATTCACAGATGTAATTCTAAAGGTCTAGGAGTTTACAATCTAGTTGGCTAGTAATAATAGCAAACACAACAGTAGTGAAAATATTAATAAGCAACATGCCCATGTACTGTCTTAAGTAATTTGCATACATTATTTCATTTAATCCTTGTTGTAATGTTAGGTGATAAGCATTAGTATTTCCATGGCACCATATAGATGAAGTCATTGAAAGAGAGTTGAATGTCATATCAATTTTCACTCAGCTAACAAGTAATGGAACTGGAGTACATAGTCCCCTTCTTTCCCTCTAGACAATATTGGTTCCTGAGTAAGTTACT